GAAAAATAATTATATTTTTTAATTTCATGGAATTTACCGTTAACTTTTTGCGTTTATAGAAATTTGAAAAAGCTTGCGGTTTCGGAAATATAAGGTGTCAAAAATTCAAATTTTACAAATTTCAAGAGGCGATAACTTGAGAGGGGGTGGAGATGGAAAAATTTTCTTCTAACGAAATGAACTATTTGATAATGTCTAAAAGCTCCTAAAATTTCAAGCTTCTACAGGCTGGGGTTTGGAAGAAAAACGACATCAAAAATTTGAAAAAAAAGGACTTTAGATAACGGTAAATTTGAACGGAAATTTTGTTTTTCTAAAGTTTAACTATAGTATACCGCGGTAGGGGAAGCAACCCACTGCCTTTCTGCGTTTGCAGAATTTCAAAAATGCTTATGGTTTCATTGCAACAAATAGTTAAAAAAGGCCATTTTTAGGGTTTTGGGGGGGTATAACTTCTAGAGGGGGGGAGATAGGTAAAAATTTTGTTCTACAGAAATAAGTTTCTAGTAAAGATCTATGTACGTACAAAATTTCAGCTTTCTATCTTCAAGGGTGTAGAAGTTTTGTAAACAGACACACGGACGGACGGACGGACGGACGGAGGGACGGACAGAGTGAAACTAATAAGCACTTTTTTTCAAAAAATATTTGGAAAAGTGCTAAAAAACGATATTTTGATTAGTTACATCTATTTGTAACCAAAAAAACCAAAAAACAAAAAAATATATAAACTGGCTTTGGTGTTACATATAAATTTTGTATTTTTTTTCCCGTTCTTTTTTTACTATATTAAATTTACTTCAAAGCATAATAATTTTATTTTTATACTTTAAAATTTTTTTTCCATATTATTTTGTAATTTTATTTCAAAAAGCAATTATTTCAAAAGCAATAATTTTCCCCTTTCATTTTTTTTTTCTCTACATATTATATGTGCGCATATGAAACAAAAAGTTACCTTTTCACTGTTTTTTTCATCTTTTATATATATAAATATTTTTTCTTTTCTCCAGTCCGTACACCTTCAAAATTTTTCCCTAACTGAGTCTATTTTTAAAATCAACTCAACATCAAGAAAAAAAAATTCTACAAGTCATACATACGCATTAAAAAAATCGAAAATTCCTTACGTGATAATCGTACGATATATATCTAGAAATTTCGATTTTAAAATTTTAATATAAAAGAACCCAACAACAATAAATCAGATCATGACAAAAAAAAAAAAATACACATGATTCAACAATTAACCCTACACAGAACTCCACCTAATATTTAATACAATTTATTCCTATCTAACACCGACATGATTCCTATCTAATACCAACAGGTCAGCAGTTAATAACAATTAAACGTAAAAAGCTAGCATACTTAGGTCATCTAATGCATGACGAAAAATATTATATTCTGCAATTAATCCGGCAAGGTAAAATATAAGGCAAAAGGCGTGTTGGACAAAAACAAATGTCGCGGCTGCGAAACATCTTCCAATGAACTGGCCCACAAACAATCGAGCAACTCGTACACACCGCACAGAACAGGAAGAGCTTTAGCAATGTAATCGCAAACATCCAGTAGTGAATAAGCAGACGAAGAAGAGGCTTAACCATAAACAATTTCGAGCAAACAGGTTTTACGGTTTTCAAAACATCATTACACGACTTAATATTCAAAGTTCTTGGTTTTTCCTCCTCTCACTTGCATTTATCGGGAAAGATCACATCGCTGAAATCTCAAAATTGTGCGACATACCCGAGCATTCTCTGCACTATTAGACCAATCGCAACACTTTTTTAATTTCCTTTTAGGAAATAATTTAGATAAAACTAATAGAGGAAATGAACCCACCTTCATAAATCCGATGCGCAGGGAACGATCTGGTGCTAAAGGTCAGCGAACATTCCTCTTCAATTTTGCCAGCTTACATTCAACATTCAGGAGGTCCTCACAACTTCCTGCTTGTTGGGTCATGCGAACGGCTTGGACATGTTAAGGAAGAAACTTAAAGGGAACTGTAAAATTAGCTGGAGTGGCGGACGTCCGCCAGGATGCTGGATCAGTAGGCCTTTTAAGTTCTACAAATATTTGGATCCTGCCATGTTACATAGAGGTTGGAGGAACTGGTACCATTTCTAACAGAAATATTTAGGACAACCTACTGCTATGGTAATTTTGTGCAGCGATCAATAAGCCTGACGCCGCTTCTTTTAAGGTCGATGGAAAGACTACTGAGTGCTCAATTTCTAATATCTGAATTTCAAGATTTGCATAATTATTACAAAATTGTATTTTTTGAAATTTTCTAAAAAGTTTCATTAATTATCGAGATATTAATGAGATTTCTAAAGCTTTCAGAGATCTTTTCATTAGTTTCACAATCTGAATTTGTTATTTACCTATTACATATCTATTTTAGGTTTTATTTAATTTTGTTGATATTTCCCCAAGTATGTCAAGGGAAGTAAATAAATAATTATATAGTTAATACGTGATAACTTAAACTTTTACAACTGCTTGTTCGGTATTTAACAATTAGTGTCTCCAATTTCAAGGATGTACTACTGATTCTTACATATTAACTTTAACGCGTATCATATTCGA